TAGAGATAGTATTATGGATACATGAATCGGGTTCGACTAAGTCTAACGAATTTAACCATTGACCAATTTGGTTTTTTTTGTTCACCGTCCGATCCAATTTTGAGAACAATGATACACATTCAAAGCCTGGCTCTAAATCCCTCAAGGATGCGCATTCTAAAAGTCAATAACATTCTATTTGTACGCATAAAGCAGTCGTATTTCCTTGAGTTTATCTTCTTCCCTAGGAAGACATATTTCTCAGAATTCCAGAGAAAAACTGGTTAGCAACTGAGATAGGTGAAGTGGGGGTCCTCCATGGATTGCGATGCCTCATTCTGAGGCTCCCCATTTCAACTCGCATCTGCTCTTCTGCCCAGCTCTAATTCCAATCAAGTTCTTGCATTCAATTCCTCTATTGTTGTTCATCTGGTAATTTCTTTTCCTTCTTTTTAATTTGTTGTTTTGCTCTTTGGGTTCTGCTTGATTTGTGTTTGTGGAACGGTGATGGGTTCTTTGTCAAGATCTGTGTCGAATTGAGAAGTTGCAGCTTTAGGTACTCTCTGATCTGAGATTGGAGAGATCTTGCTGGTATAGAATTATTGTTAATTAATGATTTACTGTTCTATTCCCATTTGCTAAAAGATGTACTTTTTATGTATAAAAAATAGTTTTATTAGGTGTTCTGAATCTGGGAAGCTTGTGGTTAGAGTGATCTTTGACTTATTTTTTGTGGTAGCTAATGAAAGATCGAATCTTTACATGTTCTCAGAGTGATCTTGGTTGTTATATCATAGATTTGGATCAAAGAGATGGAATTGTATCAGCTGTATGGGTGTGGGTTTTTCCCCCATTTCTTTTCATTGCATCTCCATGTTTCTTTTCTCTGTATACTTCTGCTTAATTTTCTGTCCGTAGGTAGCGGTTTTTTCGGAAACGTATTTACCCCTTTATGTAGTGGTAAGTTCTGTGTGCACCAACCAAGAACAAACTGCTTGGGATTACACTGGGCAGGTTGTTGTTCTAGAATAACCAAAATTTTCATGAAACATTTTTTAATGTTTTTTTAAATTAGTTTCATTGTCTTATTAATTTTTAGTATTCGGCCGTATTACCTCTATGGCTCTATCTCATAAATCATAATGCTTTTCTCATTTTCATTTTTGGACCGTCCCAAAAGCTCAAGAAGTGTACCCATTCAAAGAAAGAAGTATGTTGTTTAAATAACTCTCAACCACATTATTTTACGTTCTAAATAAAGTATAAAAAGTAAAAAGAAAGACCACTACCATGGGACGGAGACAGTATATAAAGAATTTTTGGGTGTTCTACGCTTTTCTTCTTGTTTTATATACTCTGTATATAGATGCACACTATATTGGCATCGTTAAAGTTTTTTGAGATTTGGGTTAACTATTTGCAGAGCATCTGACTAATAAGAAATACCAAAGCCGCAGACCATTATATGAGGCTAGAAAGTCTTCCTTCCTTGCTGTTAAACCCTGAAGACATGGTAGAAGGACATTCTTGTTTGGTTTCAAGTTGGGCTTGTGTGGGTTACTTGCTCGATGGCAATGGAAAAAGGACGATGGATGATAATAACAATCACGAGGACGAACATTCTCTTAGGAAATTTCGCAAACAACGCGTCACTCATGACATGGTGGACACATCTCTAACCTTGGGCATTGCTTTTGCTGCATCCCAAGCTGTAGATTACTGTATCTATGATTTCAAAGCTGATGATGGGACGCGCATGGTTGTAGTGCAAGGTAGTAACCAGCAATCTGATGGGGCAAACTCTGACACTAGCAGTCTCATTCCAGGAATTGGTCAAGACAACTCCATTAGCTGTCTCATTCGTTGTTCAAGATCTGATTATGGCAGCATTTCTGCTCTGAACAGGAGCTTTCGCTCGTTAATTAGGAGCGGCGAGCTCTACAGGCTGAGAAGATTGAATGGTATAGTTGAGCATTGGGTTTATTTTTCCTGCAACATGTTGGAATGGGAAGCTTTTGATCCCAGTCGCCGCCATTGGATGCGTCTCCCAACAATGAACTCTAATGAATGTTTTGTGTTCTCAGACAAGGAATCTCTGGCTGTGGGCACAGAGCTTCTTGTGTTTGGGAAGGAAATCCTGACCCAAGTCATCTACCGATACAGCCTATCCACGAATTCATGGTCCTCGGGCATGACTATGAATGAGCCACGGTGTCTGTTTGGTTCTGCCTGCCAAGGGGAGATTGCTATCTTGGCTGGTGGCTGTGACTTGGCAGGTAAGATCCTCTGCTCGGCCGAGCTTTACAATTCTGAGACCGGAGTTTGGAAGCCATTGCCAAACATGAACAAGACACGGAAGATGTGTTCTGCCGTGTTCATGGATGGTAAATTCTACGTGGTCGGGGGTATTGGTGGGCCCCAAGCAGAACTCTTGACGTGCGGGGAGGAATACGATCTTGAGAAGAACACTTGGACTGAAATACCAAATATGTCCCCTCCTCGCGCCAGGGAAAACGGCTTGCCCACCACATCTGAAGCACCCCCTCTGATTGCAGTGGTGAACAACCAGCTGTACGCCGCAGATTACGCCGGCAGTGTGGTGAGGAAGTATGACAAGGAGAAAAGAGAGTGGTTTACCATTGGAAGGTTGCCAGAACGCGCGGATTCCATGAATGGTTGGGGATTGGCCTTTAGGGCATGTGGGGATAGGCTCATTGTAATCGGAGGGCCTAGAGCTACAAGCCCAGGGTTCATCGAAGTCAACTCGTGGGTCCCTACCGAAGGACAACCGCCCCAATGGCATTTACTCGGGCGAAAGCAATCAGGTAGCTTTGTCTATAACTGTGCTGTGATGGGTTGCTGAACATCATTACTATTATTTTTTTCCCCAGCTTCGACATTTTTCGTTAAATTGAGTGATCTTTGTTCCATTTGGTACAAAAACAAAAAAAATGCAACAAAAGGATAGGACAATAACACGAAGGGGGTGGGAGTAAAAATACGATATAGCAGTTATCTATTGATTGTTTTTTTCGTCGTTCTTGACTGCTCTTTATTCTTCCGGGCGCTGCGATTGGAAAAAAACGGGTACTGCAACATTATGTTCATCTGAAGATGTACTTACCAGACAATTTTTTTTATTCACTTCTGGACTTTGTTGTATATTCATTGGTCATTAAAATGATGTCAATATGACTGAATTGATGTTGTGGGACATGAAATTGGTGTGAGGTGCAGTATCATTCATTGGGTCTGTAATGCAGAGTACATTACCTGTACAAGTCTTCCATTTTGTTATATGCCTCAATGACCAAATTTGGCTTTTGCATTAGTTGATGGATGTCATACAATGAAACCATCCCATTTATCAACCATCAGGAATCACTTCATCAAAAGTTAGATGAATCTAGACATGATGTAGGTCAATATTCATCCAATCTTTGATGTATCTCAAAAGTCACATTGGTCTGAATGGACAGAGTAACTCTTTATGATATAAATGGCTATCACCTCAAGATGATAGTTAGAGTTGGCCTTAAAAAAGAGGATGAGCCCTATCCCCGAGGACTCCCTCAAACCTGGCCGGACGGTTACTGAAAAGAGATAAATTAAACTTTGATCGCATGTTGGTGGTAAAGAGTGGAGCCTGCATCTGCTACCTGCAGAGGCCCTATGCTTAGCATAGTTGTTTTCCAGCGCAGTTGTTAGAAATCGAACTCGGGTCTTACCCTCTATCAACTGTGTGACGCCCACCGGCAGAGTTGGTTTTTAAAGAACAGAGTCACTATTGCAAAGATGTGTCAATTCAATCAAATGTCCTCATGATTGGTCGGTCATAAGCTGAAAATATATGATATTTTAAAATTAAGTTTTAAAACTAATCTTTCATCATTAAATCTATATCATAATGTAATTTACTTTTTTTGAACTAAATTGGATGAATTTTTAATTACTCTCAATTTGTATTACATATTTATATAATAAAATATAATTTCAAAAAGAAAATAAATGTAATGAAATTATTTTTCTATAATATATTAAAAATTTTTATTTAATTGAAGTTCAAAATTTGGCCATTTTGATTGAAAAAATCAAATTGGAAGGACATATCAAAACAAATGTAGAACGGTAGGAATGGCAACGGGTCGGGTTCGGGTCGGATAGTACTATATCCGAACCCGACCCAACTTTTAAAACCGAAACCCGAATCCGACCCGAGAACTTTTAAGCCAATAATCCAACCCGACCCGAACCCGACATTTCAACCCGAAACCCGAACCCGACTTTTAACCAATAATCAATTCGACGTACCCCAATAATTTTGAAAAGATTAAATCTAATTTTTTTGTGTCTCTTTTTTTATGTCTCATTTTTTATTAAGGAATTATAAAAATGATTATAAAAGACATACATCATATAGTAGCACTTTGTCAAGAGATTTTACGAAGTGCTCATTATATCCATAGATAGACTTTTATGTAATAAAATATTCGGGTTTTGATCAGGTCGGGTCGGGCAAAATTATAAATCCACACCCGACCCGACCCGATGTCGGGTTCGGGTAAAAAATTTCGGGTCGGGTTCGGATTATTTTATTTTCGGTTCGGGTTCGGATATTTTAGTATAAATTTGGTAGAGACAATTTATCAAACACATGACATACATAGTTCATCAACTTATTCACACAATTACACAAAAATTTGTACTAAAAAAAGAAAAAAATGTGATAATGTGCAATGTGGATCATATTACATTCAATACCAGCCAGCCTTTTCCCATGTCAAAATTGAATAAAAATCATTTCCAAGCTTCCGCCAAATGGAAACTCCTGAATGGAAAACAAAAGAAAAACTTTCTTTTTTCTCAAGAAAAATGCAAAAGAGACCAGAGTAGATTTCCAGAATGAAATGGAGAAGTCAAAGATCTCTCCTAGGCTCGAGAACAAGACCGCGTTCCGGTTACACCAAAATGGAAGGAAAACTTTTTCCTTGTTACTTTCGCCCTTTTTTTCATTTCCCTTCATACCAAACAAGATCTTATTTTTATCAAATTCTTCTCTTTTCCAAACCAAATTCCATGAACCAAACATAGTGTTAATGCCCTAAATTAGGCAACAATCTACTATTGCAGTAATCTAATCTGGGCTCATGAACACCGTCGTGTTTCGTAATAGCAGAATACAACATTGCAGAATCAGGTTGCAGCTCAAGCTGAAACGGTTTGAAAACAAACCTAAATTATATCTTAGTTTGGAAGATATATTCAGCTGAAACACGAATTACCTGCTCTGAAAGCTATAATAACAATGTCTAAATAGTTAAACAACAAGCTTCGGGACAGCAAAAGCCCGGTAAGGAATGGTCTCTATGCATTGTCATCTCTCTGTGATCATAGTTCTGAACCACTAATTCTTTGGTATTTAGAGGGTAGTCAGGGTACCCTTACATTCCGTCATCACTAGGGATTTTCTTCATCCGATTGAGGTCCAGCTGACCCAGGGATGGAGTCGGCGAAGAACTCATCTACTACAACAAAGCCAAAACATATAATAATAAGACCAGTTAGAAAAAAATCTGCATAAAAACCCTTGCTTTTGATTACTTGATAGAAGCACTTAGCATGGGACACAGTAGGGCAGTAAGGGCCTAGTGCCCAGGGCAGGTCCTGGACAAGAATGAATGGAGATGGAGGGTCTTTCAGAAAAAGGCAGCCATAGAAGCTTAGTGCCCAAACATGGGCTTTACAGATACTCTTCTTTTCTCTCTCTCTCTCTCTCTCTCTCTCTCTCTCTCTCTCTCTCTCTCTGTGGAAGAGAGTTGGAGGATAAATAAGGAGGGGAAACATTATGGTGAAGTTCATCTTATATACGGAGTAATAATCAATACTACATTTTGAAAACACATATGCAAGATTGGAACAATTCTCACCTAAGTCGTCTTTCTCTGGAGAATCGAGTAAAACATCTGAATCAGAATGCAAAAATGGCGAGCCACTGTCATTTCCAAGAGTTCCTAGATCTGCGTGACATTAGTATCAGGTAGCAATTAGCAACAATTAGAATAAATAAAACACGATTTGCACCCAGAAACTTGAAACTTTTAAGAGCCCACTTATCGTAACATAAATGTTCATGCTGAGGGAAGAGTGAGTTCGCTTACCCCATAAATCATGTTTACTTGCATAATTTTGGGACCAAAACACATTATACTAAATGCAATGTCCCCAAGCATGATTTTAGGAGGAAATCAAGTGATTTTGTGCCCTTCGGCATTTTACTTAGCCAACTTATGTAATCCACTTGACCACATTAATTGTAAATAAGGTACTAACTACTCCCTCCATCCCATATCTTTCTTTACGTTGTGCAAAACGAAGAAAAATCCCAAGTTGTTTCAATCTATCTTATTTACATATTGGTATAGAAATAAAAAATAAAACTTACATATTTAAAAACTACATCAAAAGTTTAACAAAACAAGTAGTGACAAGAATATTTAACTTTATCATATAGGTCATGAAAAAACACAAATAAATAAAAGTTCCTCTGAAGTTGGAATAGTGCTCTGTAAAGAAAGATATGGGACAGAGGGAGTACTAAGGTAAGAGTTCCAAGTTCCAACAGACTGACACAGGTCTCTCATTGGCTAAAAAAGATGTTACAATATGCATTTTCTTTCCCTATCACTATCTTCATCACCACCACAAGTATTAGTCATTCGTTACCATTACCCTGCCAAACTTTGTCAACTATGAAAGAATTGAATAAGACACAATTTCCAACTACTTAGAGCGTTTCACACAGAGACATCATATTTCAAAGTGCAAAAAGATATAGCTATACTAATTGGATTTTTTAAAAGACGGCTCATCACTATTAGCACCATATTCAGTTTAATCACCATTACAGTTATTCATATGACGATATCTTTAAGGAATCTCTTGAATTACCTCCCAAGTTTGGTAAATCAGCTGTTAGGTCCGAAAGACTGAAATTCCAAGGAATCTGAGCCAAGGATCTGAGAAAATCTCTAGAATTTCCAGCTCCGTTATCAGTGGGGAGATGTAGTCCTACTGAGCTAGCATCAGATGCAAAGGCTGTGTCAAGGGCTGATGTGTCTACTCCCATCCCAGATATCTCTGATGCAGTAAAGGGAAAATGACCACTGGAGGCAGCTTGTGTGGGGCTTACAGGCATATCTGGAATAGATGAAATGGCATTACTTGGTGGAGCAGCCGCGGATGCATCTGATGCACTGGTTTGAGCGGTTTCAATCACCATTCTACAACAAAGGCAAAAGTGCCGAACATCATTTTTCGGATGCGTAATATGAGCAAATTAAATGAATTGAAATATAATTTTTAAAAAAGAACTCAGCATTGAAAAATTAGGTGAACTTGAAGATACGTTTAGTTTCAAAAGATGAATCAACAATGATCTCTTTTTTCAAGCATTGAGATAAATGTCAGAATTGAAGTAGCATCCCCTGATTACAAGTGATTTTCAAATGTTCTACTGTCCACACAGATGGCTATAGTTATATGAGCTGATGACTAAAACTAATGAGAAGTGCAGATGCTCAAGAAAAGAATGATGGCTACAAGTCACAACCTGTATATCTTGAGCATTTCAAGGTATATACAGTAAGATAAACCACACAGTACCACGATAACAGAAGAAAATAGCACTGATATTGTTTATAATTACTGCATTTCATTTATTCGCTTGAAGTCAAAGATGTCATGAAGGACAATATATTCTTACTCTTTCACAGCATTCTTCCGGATCGGCTGGAAGTTGCTTGGTGCAGGTACTCCATTGACCACATGACAGCTTGATAAACCCATTGAATCCATATGACTGATATGAGGTTGACCTGTTGTAGGAATTGGCGGTTGTTGCAGTACAGGATATCCTATTGGTAAATTGTTGACTGCACTGAATACAAGTGTCACTTAAAAACAACAATCAGAGTAGAAAACGATTCATGCTTTACATTTACTACTCACACTCTGCATACCCTTGTTATCTACTTTCAAGTAGGGGTAAGGTCTGCATACACCATCCTCCGCAGACCCTACTTTTTGTTGGATTTTTCTGGTCTTCTTGTTGGTCGAATGGTCGGTTAATTATTATTTTTTCAACTATAATCTTAAACATTACTACGTTATAAACATTGTTATAAAAAATATTTTTCACCTATATCCCTAAGTCCCTAATTAAATGTTATAAACATTTGATACATCAAAACTATATCATAAAATTAACTCAATGATATTAAATTTTCATTATAACAAAATATATTTTTTCACAAGGCATAATCAAAGTCTGTAAAGTTTGACCACGAAAAATCAAATGTAAAGATCTTTTTGGGACGGAGAGAGTGCCCAAAGTCTAAAACTTCCTTTAATAGTACGGTAGATAAGTTGAAAATGCATTGCATGACCCCGTGGTATACTGGTATGTGCAGAAAATTCTGTTGCACTAAGACAAGGACATGTACTCACACACGACAAGGTCATGAACATGAAAACATGACCTTTTCAAAATCATACAAAGGATTTGGGTGTTGGGACGTCCCCATGTATCCAAAAGGGCATTTCAGGGATGGGAAGTGGCACTTATTTGAAGAATCCATGGAACGAAGGTTCTAATTAGCCAAGTATGAAAATATAAAGTTAAGGAAAATGCCAGTCACCGCAAGTTTGCCGCCAACCCCTTTTTCCTCCTCAAACACATGAGCAGCGTTCATATGTGTGAGAAGAAAAAGGAGTGTGAGGCAAACATTAAGTCAAGGTTTGGGCCTCTTTAGCAAAGTCCTAAAGTTTATAACTAAGTGAGAGATTAACGAACCAATTGTTTTATACAGTTACTAACCGAAGAACCAACTCATAAATTTCCAGAAAATAGAAGTGAAAGAACAGTAAATTTAATGTCGCATACATTTGATAGTGTGAAATACCGAAACCGGTCATTATCATTAGGTTTTCAAAATTGTAAAATTAGTTTTGCCTCTGTCCCAAGTTCCCAACAAAAAACAAGTCTTATTTGTAATATTGAGAGAAGTCTCACAAATTTGACTCTTTTTGGGGATAGAGTTAGTAATATGCGGAGTATTGGGTTTGAAATTTAAACACATCACACGCGGGGGAATGCAAAATGGTAGGAGAAAAACTTTTCACAGTCAGCCATTGACATCTAAAACCAAAATTGCTACTCCACTTAAGTGAAGATAACTATGAATTTTTTGCTTATGTTTTTCCTTCCCCGACTTTTTTCGCTTATGCTTTTACCAAACACCAGCTTAGTAAAGACTATGTTTGGTTCAAGGAAATTGGAAGGAAAAGAAAAGAAAATGATTTTCTCTCATTTTCCTCACCAAAATGGGAGGAATTTGGTTTTCCCTCCTCTTAGTACATATTGCATTCTCATTTTCTTTTCCTTCCACTTTTCCTCTCTAACCAAACAAGAAAAACTTTTTTCCGCTCCATTTTCTTTTCCCTTTCAAATTCCTTGAACCAAACATAGTGTAACTGAATTAATTGATTCCAATAAGAATTTTAAAAAGAACTAAAGCAAGATAACTCTTTTGTCTTAAATGAAGGTAATTGACACTGTCATCTTTAGCTATTAAAAGAATTTTAAATAATTTTTTGATGATTCAGTCAAATCAGCTCATCAGCAATTTCAACCATCCATAATATATGTTTATTTCAATTTCAATAGTCAGGTTTACAAATTTTAAGATGAGAGCCAGAAATGCTTATGTTTTTAAACATATAAAATTAGTTTATTGATAGGACATCGACAAGCACGTTACAAGAATATTAACTATTAAAACTTGCCGCATAGATACTACAAGAAATACAACCATTAAAAAAATAATAAAAAATGAATTGCGTTATGTGGAATTCCATACGAGGATCCTATTGCATTCAAGTAATCATGCATGCAGTTACAATGATCATTTAAAAGAGAAATTACTTAAGCTTACCTGGCATGGTATTGATACCATTTTGCAATGGAGCTAATGGAACATTGGGAGGTACTGGGTATTTCATTAGATGATACTGATGCTCAAGCAAGTGATTGAACAATATAATTTGTTTCTTCAGTTTCAGCCTTATGTAGTAGGCCCGAAAAAAATCAGCATTTTCTTCTTCTAACTTTTGCCACACTGTACATAGAAGGAATATATTAAACTACAAATGGAAATCCTAACATGAAATTTATCTGATCACCTGAAGTCATAGGCAAGTAGTCATGTGATAACAGTATGGTGATGACACAGAAAAATACTATTTGCAGAAAAAGGCACACTAGTAACCAACCATGATATTCTGTACATATCATATTTAATATATTAATCGTACTTACCTAGAGTTGTAAATCCAGGGTCTATCCTTGCCCGGTTTAGAAGTGTTTTCACTACTTCATCTCTATTCATATACAACTGCAAACACCTCTCAATCAAGTTTTGAACCTATCAAACAAAAAAATGTCGTAAAAAATCAGATATAAAAATTTCCCACAAGATGCCAAAAGATAGTGAAAAAAATAGAAGGAATTTAGCATCTTACGAGCTCAATATCTTCACGTGAAATTTTCCTGTTTTCATTGCCAGATGCCGAAACTGACACAGAATCTGCATCCAGATTCTCCGTTGTATTGTTTGGTTGATCATTTTGTGAATCATGTGAAACCTGGGTTGAAGGTTGTTTTGCTTGTGATTTTTGTGAGTCCTGCAAGTTCTTACCAAAATGTTTCAAAATGCCATCATCATCGATTCATCAGTGCCCCCAACTAGTTGGAGTCTAAGCACCAACTATTTGAAGTAACATTTTTATGTGCCACTTTAAAGCACAAGACAACACTCAATGAATAACATGATAAAAATTGGCATAATAGCAAATGATGTTTAAGGAACACACTTGGTTTGTTGTTGTAAAAGCAAATAATATTGTTCTTTGTCATCTCCACCATGTAATCTATAATCATTCACCAATATGTGAGTCCTCAAGACCAAAAGCACATCTTTTCTGGCTGAAAATTTCATATGCTAGAATAACCATGCTCTACAAAGCACATACATAAGTGCAAATAACTTGAACTCAAATTTCTCTATCATAATGCTATAATGTGACGGTTTACAGCCTGTAGTTCGGATTGTGGATTTTTCAATTTAATTTGTACTTTGGTCTTCACTGTTTGTTCAGTTCCTGTCTGTTTCTGGGTGAGTCAAACAGTTATGAAACAACTTCTCTTCTGTTGATTTGTTCTTTTCTATAGCTTTTCCCGTATAGGTTAAATCAAAGTCAAAAGATGTTGCTTTTAATTTCTTGATAAAACAAGGAACCAAAAGCATTACAGAAACAATTACCAAAAGAAGGCCCCATAAAAATGACAAAGCAGACCATTTACTTGCGAACTTTAAAAAAATAAAGAAATTCAATATGACTTTCTTTGTGTGCTGGAAAAAAGTCAAAAAGATGGGATTAAGTGTTAACATGAATGAATGAATTAAAAAAAGGAACTTCTTAGAAGTGTTAAGGTAACAACCTGTGAAGTCTTCATTTTGGCCTAGTGAAAGCACATTAAATATCTCTATGAATCATAAAAAATGAGAACAAGATGAAAGGTGCTTGGTTTTAAAGGCCCATGCTTCTAGTAACTGAAGGCATTCAAGAATAATTTAACCTGAAAGGAAGAAATAAACAAAATCCAACAAAGAGTCAGGTATAGAGAGCATAGGCCACAACTATCTACCTACACTTGAAATTTCATATACAGAAGCAAAATGTGATTTTGGTCCAGCCAAAATAACCAGCCATGTCACTTTAGTTGAACCATTCAAAAACGAAGTTCTCAGATTGTATGCTTAGTCAAATCGATCAGTACTTAAAAGATAGCATTTTTCTCAGAAAAAATGTATACATGGTAAATTGAAAGATGAAACAGCCATTACCCACACTGGAATTCACAGAAAGCAGGTACTTTAAGGTCACCAAGGATGGCTTGCCATATCAAAGTTTTGCTTTTTACATAGATATTAATAAGACTTTTAATACTACCCCATTAAAAATTTAAAATTTTAATCATCACACCCAAAGTCTTGATGAAATTTAGAAAAATTTGTATTTTACTGGTCCTTGACCCGTCCCCGTCTCCGTGCAACTTAGCTTTACACGAAGGGAGAGCAATTTACCCTGTACATCTCCTCTTCTGGGGTTTATTTACTTATTTAGAGTTGAAAACTTGAAAAGTACATAGATAACACATTCATTTCCCAGGATAGAAGTTGCAGTGCACTCATCCAAGCACCAGACTAAAGAAACTGAACTTAACCATCAGAGCTCCCAAAGAAACAAAAAAAAAACATTGAAATAAACCCTAGTAAGAAAAAAGAATCAGCTAGCAACTCCGAAAGCTGAAATCAGAAGAAAATTCTGAAAATTGATTAAGATGATACAGAGATACATACGTTTGCATAAGATGGGCGACCAAAGAGAGTCGCAAGAGCAGAGAGACGGTGATGTAGGGCGGCGACGGGCTGCGGGGCCGCCGGAATTGAGCAGATTAGAGCTCTAGAAAGAGGGAAATGAAAACTCTAGGGAGGGGACAGAGTGAAAGAGAAAGGAAATGAATGGGAGAGGGGAGGGGGAAGTGTTGTTGCCAACTTCTAAGCTAATCTAGCACAAGACTACAAGAGTAGTGAGTGGAGTGGGTAACCAATAACCAATTGAAACAAGGGTCATGAATACGTTAGACCTCTTAGAGTTCATGTATGAGCCTCATTAGGCATGGACACGGTACTGGTTCCGAACCAATGTCGGCTCCATTTGGGGGAGGGAGTGATGGGCCGATACCCAACGGAAGGCCCAAACATTGCGCCCAAATGGCACTGGGTTACCAGTGCAGGCGTGCAGCGGTTCTGGGCCGGCCCAAGAGCTTGGGCCTGGACCAGCCCAATGAAGAGACAACTGAAGAGCCCGATTCAGAGGAGGGAACGCAGCTGGATGCGGAGATGTAGCCGAAGAAAGAGGATCGCGCTAATGGCGGATTAGTCTCCTGGAATGGTAAACTACCATAATTACGTAGAAAGCATGTATAAATAGAGAGGACCCGAATGAGGATACTCAAGCTGAACCTAGCGAATAAACCCATAATTCTCGAGTTCTTGTTTATCATTAATTCTTTCTATCCGTCATTCTAAGCCGGATCATTTGGTGGATTTATTGTTCATCAGAGGGATTGGTTCGAGTTTTTTAAAAAATGAACATCAGAAACAAGTTCTAGTTTTTTTGTTTGGGTTTTAGAGTTTACTCTTCCGGGGGAGGGGGGTGGATATAAAGCATGGATAGTGCCCCCAATGAACTGCATTTTTTATATGTAATAATGCAATACTCATGATAAATATTTTTTAAAAAAATTGAATTAAAGGGTATTCCGAATTAAAAAAAGAGGAATTTACATAAATAGCACTAAAACATAATGACTTTTCCTAAATAGCACTACATATGTTTTTTTCCCAATGTAGTACTTTTAGTCATTATCCATTAATTATTATTCAAGCAAATGTTTGACATCACTGGTCATTATGGACATTATTAAGTGCTATTTAGGGAAGAAAACAATCTAAATGCTATTTAGAGAAATGACTTAAATTTTAGTGCTATTTAGTGCAAATATTTCTTAAAAAAATAATACACCCTTTGTTCCTTGATGAAAGTGCCCTCAATCAGTATATATTTTCTACAAACAACTACGGAGTATAAAGCTATTGTTCAATAACTGGGAAGGGGAAGGGGGTGGGAGGTCCTGGGGGTGGAAGATAATTTTATTTTCTATAAATACTGCTACAATTCCATTTTATTTTCACACAATAATTTATATTCTCTAATTATTTGCTCTCTAATTTTTTTTCTCTATAATCTCTACTTTCTTTACTCTATTCATTTATATTTAATCCTTATATTACCTTATATAATTTATATTATTAAACATTTGTAATACTATATAATATTCTCTCTATCTTAGTTTATTCATCTTGTTTAGCTTTTTTGAATCAAGCTGAATGAACTTTATTCATCCGCTACTCTAAATTTGTATTGGATATTAATGTAATGAAATAAATTTTGAATTTTTTTTATTTAAGATAATTCTAATGAAATCATTTTTATACTAATATAAATTAAATTTTGTATCCAACTAAAGTTGAAAGTTTATCCAATTTGGTTCATAATTAAAAGTCAAATTCGACAAATATACATGGACGAATGTAGTTATATGTTATAGTTAACACATTACTCTGTATAAAAAACACCATAATAAAAGAATGACCCATCTCCCACATAAGTCCACTGATATTGGTAGCTTGAAGCACTCTCATGTCAAAAAAAAAGTGATTTAGTTTCTTCTTTCGTGAGTTCAAGATCCCAACCAAAGTTCTCCAATGTCTAAGAATATTATGTTATTTGTAAAAACTAATTGTCAAAAGACATTAATATAGGTAGGTGAGGTTTTATATTTAGTTATTTATTACTCCATCAAATATTAGCATTGTCATGCGTACCTTTCTATGGATAGTCCTTTTTAACTCTTTGTCATGTTGATGTTAAATTGTGAGCTAAAAGTGTAATTTTATTTTAACCTTATATCCAGTAATGTGCTCGAATATCGTCTTGATGGACAACACAATAATACTCATTCTGTCCTAAAACTTTCTTCCTAGACATTATTCACATGGTCAAACTTTAATAACTTTGTTTATCTATTTTCATTAGTTATTTGATAAAATAACATGATCATGTCACCTCTTGTTTTGTAGAACCGTTGATATAGTTTTAAAGTATATGATTTTTATTTTTTAATTTTACACCTATAATGAAATAAATTTAATTGAAAATAATTTTAGTCAAACTTCGTAAATCAAACTGGGAAGAAAATTTTAGGAGAGAGGGAGTAATGACTATGATTGTGAACTAGGATTCTGATCAAAAGCGACAATTGTAAACTATTGTTGTATGGGACAATGATTTCAGTTGACAAATGACATATTAACAGTGATATCTGGCATTGGTTATTACAAAAAGGATATATGATCATTGTAAAATTATATATTTCGTTCTCAATTTAATACTAACATGACAGAATGTTTATGTCATACTCTGAGGTTCACTTGTCATGTAGGCTGTCGGGCTATATTGGGCCTCTAATCTTGATACTATTATTGGGCCTGACATGTAACAAAATATATTGGTTCCAATTAATATAATAATATGTACCACTTTTATGACTTGTAATACAATGTACGGACCGGGGCACTCATCAAATAATGCAACAAGATTATTTTTGAAGAAGGGAAAGAGTCTGAATAGAATAGTATTATTAACTAAAACTGAAAAGTTTCCTCACAATTGTTATGATCAAAGATTAGGAGAGTTATCTTAGAAATAGATTATCTTGACATCTTCTTCAATTATTGGGAGGCTTCTTTAATTAATTAATTTATTTACCTTGAAACTGTCCACAAAAATGTTATGAGCAAAAATTTAGAAATTCTTGCTATTTACTTATTCTGATTTTCATGACATTGGAACCCAATGATATCATGAGATGATCCGGAGTTCCTATAATATTCCGTTCAAAAAATTGATAATGCCTACCTACCTAACTCCCCGGTAAGTCTCCCCTCCCCCTGCCCGACCCGTACCCACCCTCCACCCTTGTCAGTTGCATGCACCCCACAAAATTTAGTTCATTTTGGGTCAAATTTTGACTCCAAAATCAACTAAATTTGGTGGGATGCAATTGAAGAGTGTGTGCGTGAATTCGGGTCAAGATGGGGTGAAGGGTTTATGGGAGAAGTTAGAATGACAAAAACAATCATTTTTTTGTTTCTGCCCAATGTTCCACTTACTTATTTATGTTTTTCTTTTTATGTAAATTCGGTTGCTTCAAATCATGGAATGGGTTTTGCATCGGGTTTTGGAACGTAAAACGTAAACTATAAAATATTGTTCTACTTTGACTTTAAAGGATTTAAGAAAATAATGAAAAATAAAAAAAATATGGTTGAAATTAGATTAGAAAATAGAAAGGGCAATAGACTTAAAAAAATAAGACCATCAATTTTTATGTTAAAAATCAGTTTCCTAGTATTCTTTTTTTGGAAACTTTAAGGCTGTCAAATCTCTCTTGTATCCAACATAAAATTTTAATCACATTTAAGCATATAATTTTTTTTCCAACCAATATACGGAATAACTCTTTTCCATCTACCCTTAAAACGTGTCATTCTTGCCATAGAAATTCATTCACAAAAAAAGTTATAGCTCAACTGTAGGATCTTCTCAAACAATAAACTAGGAGGAGTTAAATTAACCATAAATTCAACCTTCTTGAGAGAGAATGAAATCTATAGTCCCTAATGACACTTGCAAGAACGTCATAATTATTAATTAGCATTAATGTTAGGGGAATTTACCTAAATAACACTAAAACATAATAACTTTCCCTAAATAGCACTACATATGTTTTTTTTCTCAATGTAGCACTTTTAGTCATTATCCATTAGTCATTATTCAAGTGAATGTTTGCCATCACTGGTCATTATGGACATTATAGAGTGTTATTTAGAGAAGAAAACAATCTAAGTGCTATTTAGAGAAATGACTTAAGTCTTAGTGCTATTTAATGTCATTTAGTCTTAAGGTTATTCTTTTTTGCAATTGTCATTATTCAAACTTATATTAACTCCCTGGCATAGAGACATATATATTACTCCGTAATATATAAGTTATAAGTTGTATTACCTGTTTGGGAATAACATTATATTAGAGGTTAGTGTTTGCATTCTCAAAAAACTATCTACGGGCAACAATTAGCGTTAGCGTATTCAAGTTAATCTGCACTGTTAAAATCTTATCCAAAATACTAATGCTAACCGAAAATACTAATCCCAAACGAGCCCGTAATTACAACGGTGAACATATATCGAAGATACTCCCTCCTTTCCTAAATTTTCTTCTATTTGATATTTTTGGTTAATTTTTTTTAGTGTGACCATATGTTACAAAAAATGTACTTCCTTTGACCTAATTTAAATTTCTTGTTTCAGTTTATGATGTTTGATTGAATTATTATCAATACAATTTATTTGAGAATTTAAGCAGAATTAAAAAATAAAATTTACTTATTAAAAAGCAACATCAAAAGCTCTTCGAAACAAAGTGTGACATGATTATATTATTTTATCAAATAAGTAATGAAGATAGAGAAATAAAAATGAATAAAGTCTGATCATGTGAATAGTAAATAGACAATTAAATTTGGGACGAAGAGAATAATATATTGTGTTATATATACTACGGAGTATAAAATTAATATGAAAATCTCATTTTAAAATATATTTTTGAAATATCATATTTCTATTATATACTAGTATAATTTTATATAAATATAAATATTACTGATCAAAATGTTCCATTCTTACCATTGGAATTGAAAGAAAATGTGGGAAGAAGGGAGTATGTTTCTACTAGCCAACAAAGGATTGGATGATGAAAATTTAAATCATTTATCACACCTTAGTCTTAGTGGTAAAACAAAAAAAATTGAGAATATTTATATATAGTCCCTTGTGGGATTTAAAAACTCGACTTACAATC